TTGTGCGGACCCCACCCTGGAGGGCTCAGCTCCCATCCCTCTGATGGACATCCTGCCCCTAGTCTCTAACACCCCCCCCCTGTGCGGACCCCCCCCCTGAAGGGCTCAGCTCCCACCCCTCTGATGGACATCCTGCCTACAGAATCTTTAACTCCTTCATCCCCTGGCTCTGCAAACTCTGTCCTTGAGTTGTTAACTTCACCCTTTTGACATCCTGCCCCTAATGCCTTTAATAACTCCTCCCCACCCCCTGCCCTTTGCACACCTTGACTTTAAGGGCTTTACTTCACATTGATCTGACATTTGTCCCCAAAAGTCTTTAACGCACACTATTTCCCCCTCCCCCAAAATAATCTTGGCCCTCAACCTTAATCTGAGAAGGCGGTGTGGTAAAGTGGGAGGAGCTGTTTATGGAGTTCGGGGATCTGAATTTGAACCCAAGCTCTTCAGTGTAAGAGCTGTGGACCGGTCACTTTAACACCTTTAGGGCTTGGTTTCCTGTCCTTACTGTGATGGAGGTTAGACCAGGTTCTACAGGCCTCTTCCAGCTCTGTGATTCTGTGATTCTGCACCACTGTCCTGTCCCTCAGTCAGCCAACAAGTATTAAAAGCTTACTCTGTGCCAGGCACTGTACTAAGTGCTGGGAAACACGAAAACTGGGACCTTGTCCTCAAGGAGTTCACATTCTAGTGGGAGAGAAAACATGCAAGCTACCATACAGCATATAAAATATATACAATGTAAAAACCCTGAGGATTTTAATACTCTCCATTTCCATTCTCCCCATTCCTACCCCTTTCCAGACCCTGTCCTCTTCTCTGCCCCTACCACAACCCTCATAAAATCTGGGCTTCCACCCCAAATCTTAGAAGACAGTGTGGTGCAGTGGAAGAAGTAATATATTTGGAATTGGGGGATCTGAATTCAAATCCAGTCTTTGCCTCTTTAGAGTTGTGAGATAGATTGTTACTTTAATGTCTTTGAGTCTTGTTTTCCTTTTCCATATTTTTGAGAAGTTTAGATTAGGTAATCTGTAAGATGCTTATCTGTGTTTCTTTGATCTTGTCCTGAGGTCTTTGCTCCCTTCTCTCCTGTCCCCTAGGTCTTTAACCTCACAGTCCTCCAACCTCCCCACTATTGGTCTAAAGGCTGGCAGTCAACAAGCATTTTTAATCTTACAATTTTAACAATAATTTCAATAAAACAATAATAATTTTAATCTTACTGTTTTCCCTGTAGGGGCAGGTAGGTGGCGCAGTGGAGAGAGTGTTGGGCCTGGAGTCAGGAAGACTCATCTTCCTGAGTTCAAATCTAGCCTCAGACACTTACTAGCTGTGTGACTCTGTGTGACCCTGTTTGCCTCAATTCCTTCATCTGTAAAAATGAGCTGGAGAAGAAAATGGGAAACCATTCCTCTATTATTGCCCCCCCCCAAAAAAAAAACAAAACAAAAACGAAGAGTCAAGACATGACTGGGGGGAAAAAAGACTGATTTTCTCTGCACTGTGCTAAGTGCTAGAGTTACAAAGGAAGGCAAATAATAGGCCCTATTTTCTGGAAGCATATATTCTAATGGGGGGATAATATTTAAATAACTAGGTACAACGTGCACATATATATAGAGTAGATAAAGACAATTTGAAAGAGGCATATTACAGTGGATTTTCCTAAGGTTAGAGCCCAAAGAGGACTTGAGAGATCAATTCCCAAATTTTATATATGAGGAAAATGAGATTCAGAGATGGGGAGTGACTTGGGCAAGGTCACAAAGGGATCAGATAGCAAAATGGCATACTTATGTTGAACCCAGGTCTCTTGTCTGCCAGTTCATTGCTCTTGTCTACTGCACCATAGATGCCTTTTCCAAACCTTGCGCCCAAGGTCTTTAACACAACAATCCACCTCCACCCCCATTCCCCCTTCCTCGGCCATAGAGCAGATGATAATCTCTAGACCATTGGATTTTCATAGGATTTATAGAGGTACACTCCTGAGCCTTTACCACTATCCCCAAGACTTATCTCCTTCCCTACTTCCTACACACATAGCTGTCCCTCCTCAGTGTCCCTGGTGCTGAGCCCTGCCACCCAGTCTTCTGGGATCCTATGGAAGAGTTTCCTGGCCCTTCCTCTTCCTACCTCTATCTATCTATCTGCTCCATCACTTACTAGGGTTCTGACCACAAGGTCTTCAGCTGTCCTCTCACCCCAGAAGAATCTAGTCCAACCTCCCTCATAGAAGGGGTTTTAATCCAAGTCTTTTGACTACAAATCTGTTGTCTTTCTGCCACACTATGGTTGCTTCCCTCTGGGGTCCACCCCTAAAGCCTTCAGCATTCAGGACTGCCACAAAGTCGTCGTTGACCCTCTGAGACCCTTATCCCAAGATCTTCAACCCTTCTGCCTTTTTTAGGGTTTTACCTGTAAGATCTTCACCTCAGATCTCTTGCCTCTTTTAGACCCTGCCCCAAAAGTACCTTCTGGTGTTCCACCTCAAATGTTTTTACCCTCCAACCCCCTCAGGAGGTTAGAGGGCAGGAAACATGGAGACAATTGGGTTTTCACAGGATTTGGAGCTGAAAGGTCATCCTGGAGGAACTGAGGCCCAAAGAAGGGAAGTTATGGGTCACACAGGGAGTGACTGTCAGAATCAGCAGTGGTGACCTCAGGTCTTCTGACTGCAGTGCACCATAGTGTGATCTCTTCTAGGGCGCCACCCCAAAAGCAGAGTAGACACCTAGAAGGGAAGAGTGAAAAGACTCCTGGGTGCGAATCCTGCCTCAGACCACTACATATGTGGGACAGAGGCCAGTCACTTCCTTTTTGTTTTAGTTCCCTCATCTGGCAGTGGCTTTTAAGGTCTCTGCTAGCTATAAATCCATAATTCTTTACCATCATACCAAGAGTTATTCCTCTGCACCCAAGCAGGTCACCCTATACTCCCCTGTCCCATATCCTGGAGTCCTGAACCCATGGTCTTTATCCTTAATCTCTTGCCCTTTCCAGACTGGGTGTTTACCATTTTCTCTTCACTTCATGCCAAGGCCCCCATGTAGTAGAGCAGATGATGGTATGTAAACTGGGGTCCTTAATCTAAGACCTATGAACTTTTAAAAAACCACCACATATGTTTATGTACGTGAATACATACATACACACAGGCATATGTACACAGCAAGTATATATGCACACACATGTATACAATATAGTAAATAATTGCACTATACACCTATGTAATTGATTTCTTTTGTAATTCTGTGTATTTTATGCATTTAAAAATCTGGGAAAGGGTCCATAGGCTTTACCAGATTGCCAAAGGGTCTGTGGCACAGAAAAAGGTTGAGAACCCCTGATGCAGAAATTGGATTTTCCTGGGGTTTAGACAGATAATCTAATCCAACCCCCTCATTTCATAGATGAGGAAATAGGCCCAGAGGGGTGAAATGACTTGACCAAGGTCACAGAGGGAGTAAGTAGCAGAGACTTGGAGTTAAGTTGTATCCAGGCCTTCTGACTGTAAAACTGGTGTAATGTTCACTATATCACAACTGCCCACTTGAGCCCCCATCCCCAAGAGTCTTCACCACCAACTCAAGATTTTTAATGCTCCCCATTTCCTAAGGTTTTGACCTCCAGTTTCCTGTCCCATCCATACCCAACCTCTAAGGTCCACGCATTTCTGGATGTTATAGGGCATGTGTCAACATGGAGACAATCTTTATAGGATTTCGAGCTGGGAGGACCTTAGAGTTCACCTTGTCCAGTCCTTACAGAAGAGCAAACTATGGCCCAGAGAGGTTAAGTTACACAATGTCACACAGGTATTAAGTAGTTGAGTCAGCAGTTCAACTGAATCTCCTGATCTCAACAGTATAGTTCTTTACTCTACAGCTGACTGCATCATAATCCCTACCCCTAGTGCTTTCATCCCCATGGCAGGATTTTTATTCACTCCTTTCAGACCCCTTCTGTAGTCCTACCTATAAGTTTTTTATTTCTGTTCTTTCCCATCTAGGGGGAAAGACTCCTAAAGTCTTCACCATTACCCTAAACTCTTCAACATCCCTTCCCTCCATCCCCCCTTCAGTCTCTTACCTGTCCACATCCCATCCCTGAAGGCATTATCACCATTCATAAAATCACAGATTTAGAGATGTCACTTAATCCATCTTCTCATATTCCCTCATTTAACAGAAACATTGAGACCCTGAAAGACAGAATGGCTTTCCCAGAGTCATATAGCTGTCCAGATTCGAAGCCCTAGTCTTCTAACTCCAAATTGAATTTGTTTTCCATTGGACTGTACTGCTTCTTATTCCTTTCCACGGCCAACTGTAATCCTACTTCCTCTGCCCCCAAAGTCTTGAACCTCCTCCTCCTTTGCTTCTAAGTTCCCAGCTCCAGATTTTTCAACCTCCCCATCTTTTCTCAGACCTTGTCTCCAAGGTCTTTATCCACTACTCCAGTCTTCTTTTGGAGACTCTCGCCTCTTTTGGAGTGATCTGTCTAAAAGTATTCACATATGTTACAAAAAGTATTCACCCACTTGGACCACTCTTTTTAGGATCGTTGTTCCCCAAGTCTTGCCTCACATATTCCCAGTCCTGAGTCCACTTTTTGCCCGCTTTCTAGTTTCATTGACCTCTTCCCTTCTCTAGGTTCAGTTCCTGACATGGTCACACACATTGAACACCTGATTTCCTTTCCCACGCTTGTTCTTCATTCTTCCCTATATTTTCCATTTTTTGTGTGTGTGTGTGGGTAGACCCATCTAGAGACAGCCCATATTCAATGGTCATCAATTTAGAGGGGGGAGGAACTTAGACTAGGCCTTGAGGCCACAGGTTCCCCACCC